CGTACGTATTCACCTCGTGTTGAATGCCACCAGCCTTGCTTTGAGGCGTGAGCATTCACTTCACTACGGTCTTCTGGCAGTGGCTCAAATAGCCGATGAGAAGTCAACGGGTTAGTTTTAGAAGTTAGGACCTGCGAGAATTCAGCGGCTCGGCCCGACTTCAGCAAGCACGCCTGTGTTGTGCAAGTGCCAAAGCAGATCTGAAGACTTCTCGAAATATGGGCTCCCGAGAGTTGCAAAGCTGACCGAGGTTGAGCGTGTTCCCGTCTCTCAGGCAGGGCACAGAGTGAAAATGAGTGAAGCGTAGTGAAGCCATATGTGAAACGCCGGGAACCCGAAAAACAAGGAGGAGCGGCATTGCGCTGCACGATGCACGATGCTGCACGCGGCAAGTGCAGGTCGCAATGATTCCGCTCGGAGGCGGTCTTGGGCCAGGCACGTGAGTTCGACTTGGGGATAATGGCAGTCTGGAAATTCAATTAGCAATGCAAGTGACAATTCCCCAGACCTCTACTGACATCATCTTAGAGGGCAAGTCTATGCAGACATCGCACACTTTAATGACGCAGCGGTCAGACAGCCACACAAGGTGGCAAATTCGTTGGATGTGCTTTGTGTGGAAGCCTCCCACGTTGCCATGTCGCAGACACATGCAGGAAGACCCGACGCCTCCGGTCCATCCAACACTTGCACAGTCATAGCCCGTCATAATTCAGCAATGGCATTCTGCCATCGCCACCGCCTGCCCTTAGTGTCGCTTTGTACTTTCTAAGGCTCTCGGTCAATTTAGGATGATTCATTGCCAGTCCAAGTCAGATCAAGTCAGTCCACTTTAAGAATTGAGGCTCGGCTGCGGGGCCATGGCTGCCGTGCACGAGAGCCAATGCAAGCATCGCAAGTTGTCGTCCGACAGAAGTGCGCGCGGCACGCGCTGCCTGCACGGCCACTGTGGCGGAGTTGCGTTCAACGACAGTTCGCCTGGGACCGGCATCGGGGTCCTGCACCTTTTCTCAGCAGCCATCGGGCACCGGAGCGGATCCGGGATGCGGTGCCTCTAAGGAACCGACCTCCTCGCACGGATTGGCCTCAGGATGTGATGATCATTGGCATTTGCCAGAAAGATGGGGCGGGCATCATCAAGTTCCGCTGGTACACACGGAAGAACTCGATGCTGACCAAAGAATTTCTGGTTCCTCGAGGCCTGCCGGGTGAGATCGTAACGGTCGAGTTTGGGAAGGTGGTCGAAAAGAAGTACCCGAAAGGTGATCTGGATGTGTATGTCAATCCCAAAGTACAGAAGGTCCGAAGTAGTCGCTACGAGATCCGCCCTCTTTGTCCTCATTACGACTCTTGCGGTGGCTGTGATTTCCTGGACCTAAGTTACGGACGTCAACTGATTGAAAAGACACGCTGGATCCAGAATGCATTGGGGGACGGGAAAATTCCACTTGGCCATTTGGCACGCATGCGACCTTCCACACCCCAGCAGCATTATGCCTACCGGATAGAGTGGAGGTTTCACGAAGTTGACGGTGAGGTCTTCATTGCACCACCAGGATTCGCTCCGGAGGCGCGACCTCCAGGTGAGGCGCTGCATGGCTGCGTTTTGCCACCCCGTGCTGCAGTTAGGATCCTGAACGTTTTCTCGGATGCCTTCATGGACTTTCGGAAAGCGAATCGAAAAGCCTACAGCGTTTATAACGATGTCAGGAGCTGGGGCACCTTTCGGAGTGTGATGGTGTTCACTGCACGGAGTGCGCCTCGTAATGATAGCACTCGGCGGACAGAGGCGCTCTTGAACATCGTCCTTGGCAATGAGGTGGAGGATGTCGAGGGTGTTTTGCAGCCCTTAGCGAATGCCATTGTTGAGTCTGCTCCAAGAAGCCTCGTCGGCATCGTGGCAAACATAGCGAGATCCAGGCGTGCAGTGATGGGTGGGCGAAGGGAAGTGCTGCTACATGGCAGACGGTATGTGCATCAATCTTTCGAAGTTTCACTTGGATCAACTGATGGTCATGGCGGTCTGGATGTGCGCCAGTTCGTTCTTGAGCTTGGCGCGGGTTCACGCTTGGCAGCTCACGGAGGCCTCCTGAAGGAGTTGAGCGAAACGATCATCACACTGTGCGGGTTAACTTCCACGGACACGCTCTGGCACTGCTTCTCCAGTGGAGGTGAGCTGAGTTTGGCTCTTGGGCACCTTTGCGAACACGTAGTTGCGATTGGAACGTCGGCTACCGAAGTCGGAGAGCTGAAGAGAAATTTAGCAGCAAACAACGTTTCGAACACCACGACTGTCCTGTGCAATCTTCGAAGCCCCTTCACCCTGAAGCAGCTTTCGTTCCAGATATCGCAGTCGCAGCAGCAACGGCTTTTGCTCGGCACTGGGGAAGAACAGGACAAAGCGCGTGAGTATGCCCTCACTTGCTTTGTGCCGGGTGAAAGCCGCCGACGGCAAGTGCAAAGACTGACAGCTGCACCGTTCAACGCCCCGCTGCTTCGCAAAGATGCCCTGGCGCATCAAGAACTGCAGCTTCTCCTGCCAGCCTTCGTCCGCGACTTCCGTCCTGTGCTGACAACTCTTCCAGCTCCGGTGAACCGACCTGACGAGGAGGACAAGCAGCCAATTCGGGAAGTGCCTCCCGAAATGGAGACCAGATTGAAGCGACTGTATCGAAGACTAGCCTTGAAATATCACCCTGACAAAAACCCGAATGATCCAGATGCCTCAGAGCGTTTCCAGGCGCTGTCGCGAGCTTACAAGGCGCTTGTTGGGGACACAGCCGGAGCAGAGGACGGAGATGAGGATGCAGTGGATCCTTACCTCGTTGCTAAGGCCAGCTCCTACAGAGTCAAGTCGAAGCATTTCTGGCGGTATGACGGCTCTACGCGGAAAGCTAAGCAAGGTCACCGCAGCGGCGAAAGTGCAGAAGCCGACGAGGACATGGACGATACCGAAGCCAAAGTGGCTGAAGCCTTTGGTGCCTCAGAGGACGAGGGGGAAAATGAAGATTGGGACGTAGAAGATGGTGATTCAGATGTCGAGATTGAAATGGAGATTGACACCGCATGGGCACAACGAGACGACGTGCCAGACGGGCACAACACCAGTACTCAAAGCAGTACTGGCACTGCCACAAGTACTACGATGGATGTGGTCTTGCGTGATGGTGACACAAGGCTCGCATCTGCAGGTTCTGATGCACCGGCCCCAACGCTTCCTCCTCCCGATGTGATTCTCGTATGTCAGCCACGAAACCGCAAGAAGGGTCGCGGCACACCCAGGTACTTTCACAGCTGGCTTCGATCCACAGCTGCTCGTACCATCGTGTACGTGTCGGTTGATGCTTCAGCTTTCCGAGCTGATGCACTAAATCTTCGAGAGCTCGGGTACCGCGTTACAAAGGTCCAGCCTTTCGATCCGGAGCCTCACCGCAAGCCTGTCTTGCTTGTGGCGAAGTTTGAGCTGGTGCGACCTCTTGAAGGCCTGGAGGAATACACAGAACACGCAGACCGGCTGCTTCCCGGCCAGCCTGGGCTTCTGCCCGAAGTCCAGCCAATGCTGGTTACTGGCGGCTACCGGTCCCTGCCATCACCTGAGAAGCCCTGAGAAGTGGAGATTATGACACCACATTCGCGGCCAGAGGTGACAGAAGGTACGTGAGCTGCGAGAGAAAATCGTTCGTACAGCGTCGTACTGTAGCATTTCGTGCAGATTGTGTACGGATGAGCCGTTTTGGGTGAGGGCGGGTTATTTCCACTTCTGAAGCCTCCACCACCAAGCACCTCTCAGCCACTCCACATCCTGGCCCTTTGCATTTCACGGCACTTTGGTCCAAGCCCCTAACATAGTCAGGCCTCAGAGGTCCCATGCCCCGATAGAGATGGGAGATCCATGCAGGTCCCAACGACGCGCCAATGATGCGTCCTCGCAATACCCACGCTTGATTGTACGAAGCCATCACCGGTCGACAGGAATTGGGTTCTTACTGGAGCGGAGTGGACACCCATTCGACGCCATTATGGGAGTCGGGAAGTCAAACGCAAAGAAGAAAATCTATTCGGGGCTAACGGTGGCCTTTACCAAGTAACAGTAAATAGCTCTATGAAGTCCTCGGCTGCAAGACACGAAAGTTTCAATGGTCGACGCAGTTGTTTACGTTCATGGTTCGTAATCTTACTTTGATGCGATTCGAAAAGGCCTCTGGCGTTTCGAAGGCAATTCACAGGGCTTGTCCAGCGCACATCACCCCCATCCCACGTGCAGGCTTCCCCTGCGTTCAGCACCTTGTTTTCGGGTTTGTACGAACGTTTGCCCTTGGATGACGGCCCATTCACTGCCCCCTAAACTCTGAACACCCTAAACCCTAAACCCTGCTGCGTTCACTTGTGTTGGCGAGGTCCAGGCCCCACGCCTCCGCCACCGGAGCTGTTGAGGCCAACCCCCGGAAATAAGGTGTCGCTCTGATCATGTGGCTCACTTTTCTGACCCTAAACCCTAAACCCTTTTGGGGTCCTTATTGCAAGGCGGCCCGTCTTAATTAGGGTACCAAAAGGACCATAATTTAGAGAACTGACCACCTCTATGCTCTGCAGGTACAAGAAGGCGTTGTATCTAATTGTGGACGGAAGCTCAGACGCTGCATGTTGGCCACATGGTACGTACCGATGGATCTTTGTTTGCTCAGGTTGGTTACGCTGTGGTTCTGCTTATGTCTCTTTCAGCCGGAGCTTTCAATGCTGGGTTCAACTATGTGGAAACCTCGGTGTCTGATCCAACGCTGACCGGGCAGTTGAGTGGATTGGCAACCTGTAGATGTTACTTGTAGCAAGCCATATTTGAAGCGCAGCTGTTGAGCCAGCACCACCGATGCATTGAGCTAGATTCAAAAAAGGTTCTGCATATCAGATATACGGCTGATTAATCAGCTGATTGACATCAGGGCAATACGAGTCGTGGATGGAAGCTTCTGAAGGTCTTTGTTCTGGCGGCAGCTGCCGTTATGGCGGCCAGATCTGATCAGCCCCGGCTTGAGAAAACCTTAGAAGTGTGACTGCACGTGACGTGCTGAGAAGTTCCTGCGTTCAATCCTCTTTTCGGCGGTGGCCCCGGAGGTGCATGAGCACCTGTATCGTTCCTTTCTTCATGCTAGCGTTCATTTCGTTGCCGCTCCCTGAGTTGCGTTGCCTGTGATCAGATTGTCAAAGAGACGTGGCATGCCCTGTCTCACGATACACTCGGAGTAAGTGTTCTCCACATGCTCATGTTCCAGGTTTTTCGATATACTCAACGTCATCTCACTTCTTGCGGCGCCATACCCTGGAGCGGGCAACATGTTTTCCAGCGATTGCCCGAAACCAGTCCAGAGCTTAGCCATGGCGCCTCACCACTGGGCATAGGGCTTCGGGTTTAGGGTATAGGGTTTACATGAAGCATTGGACTCAGTTGGAAGCGACGTTGCGGAAGAACACCACCATCTTTTTGAAAGATGCGGCTGTGAATGGCACGGCCGAGTACATCATTCCAGCAAACACAAAGGCCATCTTTGCTAAACATGCAGTGAAGAGACAGTGCACGTGGCATCTGTGAACAGAGTCGACGCAGGTAGACATCCCACGCAACTTGTGTAGTAATGCATGGGTGCGCTCCTCAGCTTGCGCTGTCACTAGCCAACAGGGCTTCCAAGCTAGGGTCCGTAGGCAAACCATGCCCGCTTGAATTCAGAGACTGTGTTTCCACTGCCAGGTCGTCGCAAATGCTGAGGGCTTACTCTGCTTGACATTTTCCGGTCCTGCTTAGGACAGGTCACAGCAAACATCCGCAGATTACAATTGAGGTAGCAATGCTTCTCGGCGTTCTTTTGGATGCTGCTGCGACTGGCCCTCAGCAATTCCGCCTAACTACAGCTAGGTTCGTGTCTTTTCAGTAGGTCAGTGAGGCTGCTCACTCGCTCTGCAGAAAGAGCGAGAGTGAGAGAGAGAGAGAGAGTGAAGTGAGAGTGATAAAGAAAGAGTGGAGAGGCCCACCTAGCTAAGGAAGGCCCGAAACACTGCAAGCAGTTGTGACACAGTTACTCTGGAAAGATCATATGAACAGCCGAGAAAGCCTTTTTGCGCAACAAGGGAGGCCTAAGGCCAAACTGATCAGGATAGCCCCAGGACAGCATTTAGCACGCCCCATCGTCGTCGAATCCTCGGCCTTCGTCGGACCCATGTTTGGTCTTCGTCGAAACCCTTTTCGAAGGCAAAAAAAAGCTCCTGGCCTTCGTCGAACTTCGTCTTGGCCCCAGGGCCTTCGTCGAGTTTCCGGGGCCTCCTCATCCCCCGTTCCTGATGCGTTTGCCATCGTTTGCCCCTTACGCCTGTTTAATGAATGCTGGATAAGACGCCCAAGGCTGTTGTGACACAGTTACCCTGAAAAGTATGAGCCAGCAGGGGCAAAGCAGCGGGTCCAACCTGGATCCGGTCTCACATGCAGGCCCAGCCTTTTACTGCACGCTGTTGGTGCAGAGTTACCCCTAACAGAACGCAGACGGACCCAAAGCAGCCAACTTGCACCACCAAAGTCGGTTTTACATTCAATGCGAGCCGTAGGGGCATACTCCGAGTGTACACCTTCTTGTGATCAACGCGCGCAATTCCCCCCAAGCTAATGATTCAGATAGAAGTCTTTCCAAGTGGGAAGAATGGTGGCTTGGGAGTTTGGCTTCGCACGCAGTTGGCACGACAGGGCAGTCTCACCATGCTGTCACACCCGTGATTCCCTTAATTTGCCCGTATACTTTCTTCAGCCAGCAGAAACAATGCCAGTGAAAAGGAACGATAGGATCCCGCGCAATCGCCAACCGCGACTCTACCTCCCCGGCACTCACTGTGGTCTCACCATTGTCAGCCATGTCAACATGATGGCTGCATGCCCATGGTCCACGGCCAATGTGCCGATAACTCGCTAGAGGGTGAAATAAAGGCGGATCCTGGTATTCGGTCCTTCCTCGGAAACTCAAGCGGGTGGGAACCGGCAGACACTCGTTTTGCGGCGGCCCCCCTCACGGGGGGAGGGGGGGGGGGGGGGGGGGGGGGCGTCATGGGCGGGGGTTCATGGCCAGCAGCCACGGCAGGGCGTGGGAGGGGGGCGGGGCACCCTAGCTTTGCGGCATGCCGACAGATTAGCATGGAAGACGAGTACGAAGCAACAGCACAGGGGCAGACGCCGGTATGCGCGCCACCCATGATACCGAGGGTGGGGAGGAAACAAACAGTGCAAGCAGTCAGAGCGACTGGGGGGTTATAGTAGGCACACCCGGGAATGGAAAAAGACAAAGAGGCCTCTCTCAGCTTCCCTGTACCTGGCCTTTGTGTGGATGCTGTTGGTGGTGCTTGCAGTCTGCGCTCGTCTGCCAGAAACCCAGTGTCCGCAACCAAGGACGAGAGTTGGATACAGGATGTTCAAGACGAGCGTCGAGCCGGGGCCTTTTACCGGTGGGCGTTGTTGGAAGGTGCCACAAGCGTCAGTCGCTGCAAGAGTGCCCACAGGATAATGCAGGGCCAGGGCCAGGGACAGGACAGCCAGCACTTGTGAACCTGTGAGCTCGGCTGTGTGCTTCGTGGCTTGCATGGCCTCCAGGCAGGCATAGGGCAACAACTCATGATGGCCCAGCAAGGCCCATTTCAAGGTGGGGTTGACATGGGTGTAGAAGGGCTCTGGAGCAAACTCGATCTTTTGCTTTTTGCGCCTATCAGGTGACCAGCCAGGTGGGCCGGGTGGCGCAGGCCCAGAAAATGCGTTTCGGCCCAATGTTGCCCATGCGTTGCGATGACAGGAGGGCCCGGAGGGCCCGCGAGGAATCCGACACATTCTCAGTCCGGGGTTCACTGACTGACATAGAGGTTGCAGCACAGACATGTCCTGGGCCTAAGGCGAGGACAGGGTTTTCAGCCTTTCCAGGGCTCCGGCGCAAGTCTCAGCAACCCCGATGGCAGAACACACTGACAAGAGCCGATTGATTTTTGGCTCTCTCATGTTGTCATATTTTGTCATATGTTGTCCGAATTTTGTTCCAGGCCAAACGCTCTCTGCGTGAGTTATGGGCAGGCGCAGCCGATCTCAATTAGCAGGTCGAAAGCGTTTTCATACCTGCGGCAACAGTTTTAGATTCAGATTTTTAAGTTTGATTTGGACGACTGAGGCGACTCGGCGACACCGGATTTGGTGCTCTGAGCTTTGAGAAGCGCAGGGTGGCCTTGCTGTACAGGTGCAGAATGGCTCAGAGAAAACACTCTTCAGTTTGTTGCGGCCCGTTTCTGAAGAAACTGGTTCGGCAACCTCACAGGCTCACGAGCCACATCTCCGCGCAACCGGTGGCGTTGTAAAAGCTGATTTCGCGGGAGGTTGTTTTGGCCTGAGGGTTGCTCCTCAAGGCTTTGCTATTTACAATTCGGCATGGTGGCTTGTGAGTTGGTTTGCATCACGGAAGGCAGCAACACCAGATCGCAGTGCTTTCAAGAGTGCCAAGACAGTATAAATGAACCGAATCTGCAGGAAGCAAAGCTTGGCAGCACACAAGAGTCGCAACAGTCGCGTTTTTTTTGGCCTTTGACACAGCCAGCAAGATGGATACAAGAGCAAGCAGCCGCATGCCGTCGCGTGTGAGGAACGGAATGTAAAGGATCAGTCTATAGCAGTCGGCCTTCGATTTCGCGACGTGCGCAGCATGGCAGCTGCTGGCGCGCGGGGCTTATGTTGCCGAAGTGTCCCTTATCTACACTGTCAAATGCTGTCGGGATGCAGAGTCAGCCAGCCACCACTAACAGTTCAGGATTTAATGGAGGCTTTGCGGCCGAAGTCTGTCCAGGACGGTGCAGAAGAAACACCCCTTTCTGGTGCTCCCTGCCGCAGCCATGCTGGCAGATCAATGCATGCTTTCGCCACGCTGTACACATACGGGACAGGAGCTCCATGCTTCCGTTGCAAGCGCAGGCAGTGCGTGCTTTGCCCGTGCGCTCCCTGAATCCAAGATCGTCCAAGATACTGTGACATTGACGTCTTGTCAGTCCTGTCTTATCTCTCTTTGGGGCCAATTCTTGGTGCTTTGTTGGACTGTATGAATCCTTCTTTGAATCAAGCAACTCATGGCCAAGCCACACTCCACATCTGAATGAAGTCAGGCAGGCGAAAGCCTGTACCCGCAGTCGTCCAGCAGTTGGAAGAGCTGGTTAGGCAACAGCAGATCTGTCAGGCCGGGTGCCAGGAGTTGCCAGTATCCCAACCTCTCCCGAGATGCTCGAGAGACTCCTTGAACGGATCAGGAGCAATGTATTTCGCGACTCCGTGACAGGGCATCTTATGAGGTTGGCGTCCCTCCTTGTTATGCAAATCAATGTCGAGTGAGAGCTTCTTGGTCAGGCAAGCCTGCTTCCTTTGGGCAACCCACCAGGACAGGTTCATCCAGATACAGAGCTCAGGCCCCACTGCCATTTAGCAACGTGGTAGTGACGCAGTCGCTCAGGACATTCAACAACAAATGCGGCAGCCAGCGATTTGCAGGACAAGTGCTTGCTTTCCTTGTGTTTTGGCCTTATAACTGTACAGTAGCCCATGGGCCAATTGCAGGAAGACGCTCGCGCTCACGCCGTGTCCTCATAACCAGAGATCAGAGAATCAAGATTGCGAACAAGAAATGGGCACTCATTCCTGAATGGCCTTCTGGGCAGTGCGAGGTTGTCAAAGCAGTCCATAAGCGTTTTGCAGCCTTGGATGGGCAGTGCTCTGCACTTTGTGGTAGAAGGCGCGGGAATTCGCAAATAATGCTGGCAGCGTGCGGATATGCGCGGATCGTGCCGCAGATTAGCCAAGTGACCCTTGGAGGCTCGCGCATCTGGTTGCCGGCTGGTGGCTCAATTCCTTGCAGTCCCCAGCGGGCCCGAACATGCTGTGGAACATGCCCGCACAACAAGCACCATGCATGAGCTACAAGGCCCCTGAGAGTGGCAAGAGTTCCAGCCGGCCTTGTGCGAAAAAAACATCCGCAAGACTTGCTGAGCTATGCGTCCAGAAGCCACTCGTGCACTGCGCAAGTAGCCGTATCCTTGCTGCGCACTTTCGGGCCCGAGCACAGCTCAGCTTTGAAAAGGCAGCCAGGGGCTTTCTTCAACACAGGGTTGCAACATCACCAGCAGCGATGAGTCAGTGATTAGTCTACTATTGTGGCGCATATGACAGATTGCCGGCGTGCTGAAGGATGGGTGGCGTTCCAGAAATGGTAGAAGCCCAAGTCAGGCAAGTCGCTCCATGGCAAAGTTCCCAGCAAGTGGCAGCCAAAGAGGGTTCGAAGCATGCAACCACGTTCCGCGACGGCCGAGGGCGATTTGCGGCACCACTTTCTCGGCCTCCACGATATCAGCCGGCATGTAGCCGGGCTGGTGTATGCGGTTGTCAGATAGACCCTTCTGGTGTCGTGGGAGTGTCGTGGGTCCTGATAGTTGCTTTTCATTGATGCTTCTCATTCTCGGCTATTCTCGGCCCCCGAAAAATTCCCCTACGCTGCCAATCGCTTCCGGCTGCAGTTGGGATGGCCACCTCAGGGTCGAAGTTTGGCTCAGTGGCTGGGTTCTCATGGCACGGCTTTTAGACAGCAGCCCCTGTCAGCCCTGGCATCTGAACTGCCCAGCGCGCCATTGCAACCCCAGCAAACAGCCAGTGAGCATCGAGCGAAGTTGAGGGAGATGCGAATCTCAGGTTTCTTTCAAAAGAAGCATTTCTCCTCACCCGGGTCTCCTGTACTCCCCGCCCGGGTGGCCTGCATCTCCCCGGGAAGCACCCCACAGAAGAGAATCCGGAGTGCAGAGAGTCCTGCAGAACTGCCCACAATCCTGCAGTGCTCCCGCAGAGTAAATGGCTTAGTTTCGGAATGGGATGTTCGAAGCAAGCAAGTTTAGTCTGTGGATGTCTGTGGCGACGCCATCTCTGTAGACGTCGCTCGGTTCTCTGTGCCTTCCGTTGCGTCGACTACTGCTACCGTGGGGAGGGTACCGATCATCACTGCTTGTGGGAGAGGCCCGGCAACGCGCAAGTGTATTAGAAGCCGCCAAGGCCGTCACTGGCATGCACAAGTTGCAGGAAGTACTGTATGTTGAGCAGTTCAAAGCCATGAAAACCGGCAGGTCCATGCAGAAGTTGCTTTACCTACGCGAAGGCCCAGGCCTGTTGTACCAATGCCTTTATGTGATGGCGCATGCTTGAGAATATATGCGAGGAGGTTCGCACATGTTAGCTTCTCTTCGAAACCAGCCACCGTCCCACACCACATCAATCCACATCACAAGTACGCTTAGGCACCAGTAGCCAAAGCTTCTTTGCTCATTGTGTGGGGGTTGATTATCCTCGTGTCTCCCTGTTCCTGCCTCAGCATGTGATTGAATTCCTTGTAAGGTTTGAATGGAGCCACGAAGACTGGCAACGCATGCAGCAAGTAACAGGCAAAGGCAGCTGAAGCTCCCCCTTTTAAATGACATTGGCCAGAGCTAGGACCCGCGCAGGATATCACAGGGCAGTGATGAAATCTGAGTTTACCTTTTTTTGGTTCTTGTTCAGGACATTGCTGTGCTGAATTGGTTCTGGCGCCAGGAGGCCTGGCTTCATACCTGCCGGCGAAATGCCCAAGGATGGAAGGCGGCAGCAAGGCGTGCAAGAATCTCAGCTCCAGATATTCGAGCCTAAGTCGCGAGTGAGTACTCGACCACAGCATCGCCATTGGGGTCTCGACCCAGGCCACCGAACTGCCAAGGAGAAGCCAAAGAATCTCGGCTTGAATTATCGAAGCTGGCATGGGCATGTCCACATGGCGGATCTGTCTCGCGATTGACATTCTTCGATCTTGCTAGATATTGCCGCGGCAACTTTGGACCCAAGCGGCTGCTCAGTGTTGCTGTTTGCAGACTTTTGTTTTGACAGTATCGACCCATTTGAAAGCCTGGCGTCATGGAGGAGGCAGCCAAGAGGGCGAGATTGGCAGGTCAGACACTTGCAGCTTCCAGCGAGGACGTAAGGAACAAGGCTTTGGAGGCCTTCAAGAAACACTTGGTCGAGAAGCGAGCAATGATCGAAGAGGCCAATGCGCAGGACATGGCAGAAGCCGAAGTCGCAGTCAAAGCGGGCAAACTCTCCAGCTCGTTATTCAAGCGCTTAGACGTTGGTGGAGCCAAGTTCGACTCGCTCTTGAAGGGGATTGATGAGATCATTGGCCTGCCAGACCCCATTGGCCAGGTCACGTACTCAGACAGAGTTGCCGAAGGGCTGGACTTGTATCGGCTGACATGCCCGATCGGAGTTCTCCTCATCATTTTTGAAGCTCGGCCCGACGCCGCAGTGCAAATTGCATCACTGGCCATGAAGTCTGGCAATGCCTTGCTCCTCAAGGGTGGCAAAGAGGCACAGCGTTCCAACGCAGCTCTTGTTACCGCAATGTCCGCGGCTCTACAAGATGTTGGCTTGCCGGCAGACTGCATTCAAGGAGTTGACACACGCACGGAGGTTGCAGAGCTCTTGAAGCAAGACAAGTACATCGACTTAGTCATTCCAAGAGGTTCCAATGAGCTGGTCAGGTCTATCAAGGATGCCTCTCGCATTCCTGTTCTTGGCCATGCTGATGGAATCTGCGCCGTGTACGTCGACAGCAAGGCAGATATGGACAAGGCCGTGAAGATTGTGGTCGACTCCAAAACACAGTACTGCGCGGCATGCAACTCCATGGAAACACTCTTGGTGCATAAAGATGTGTGCGCGTCATTTTTGCCAAAGCTCGCGGCAGCCTTGGAAGGAAAAGACGACGTGCACTACAAGGCGGATGCTGTTTGCTTGCCTCATCTGCCGGCAGCCATCACTGAGCCCGTGACGGAAGACGATTTTGACACGGAATTTCTGTGTCATACAATGGCTGTTAAGGCTGTCGCATCTGCCCAGGAAGCAATTGACCACATCAACAGCCACAGCTCTGGGCATACGGAGAGTATTGTAACAGAAGACCCCGAGATTGCCGAAACATTTCTCAGCAGGATTGACTCTGCAGGTGTCTACCACAACTGCTCCACGCGATTTGCGGACGGCTTCCGCTATGGATTCGGAGCAGAGGTAGGCATATCTACAAATCGAATCCATGCTCGAGGTCCCGTTGGGCTTGAAGGTCTGGTGATCCACAAGTACCGGATGTATGGAGCTGGGCACACAGTGGCCGGGTTCTCGGGTGCTTCACCTGAGCATAAATTCCTGCATGCCCCTGTGCCTGGAGTTGCACGTGTTGGTGACATCCCGCAGGCAAAGAAAGCCAGAACTTAGGAGTCAAGCATGGCAGATGCCAGCACTTGTCTGTACAGTTCGTAGAGTCGTAGCTCTGCCGAGTGCTGAATGCCCTGCGCAGAATACACAATCTTTGGCAACTTGGGAAGAGCCCAGCCAAGCAATACTGACTTCAGCTGACAACAGGAATGAGGCACCTGCACATTGTGTGTGTCCATGAGTCGCAGCACGAATGAACGGCAACGTACGATGTACTACAAGTTTACTACATGGAGGATAGTCGTGGGATTGGTCCTTCGGGCAAAGGAACAGCCCTCCTACCTGACCAAGCTGGGCAACTGCAGTCTGAGTCGTTGCCCTAATTTGCGATTCTTTCTGCATGCTTACAAAGTGTAGGGATCGTTTTAGGGTCATGTCACGAGAATCCGAGAAGCCGAGGACAGCAGATGCTTCGAATACTTCGAAGCTCATTTGCCGGGTGGAAAGATTTGCTTTTTGCGAACGAACGACAGCAAAGGCAGCAGCTGCAGGCAGTGGGCGACATGCATCGACACAGTGGCACACATCATGAGCATTCGTGAGCCACAACGTGACACGCCTGGTGTCTGGTGAGCCTTGGTGACCTTGGGTGTTTTGCAATGCAGCACGACAGTTGCGGCATTTAAAATTCACATGCTGAAAACATCCCAAGATGTATTCGCCACAGGAAGCTGGGTTCGCCTGCCACCAGGCAATGTCGAAGGTGCACCCTTCGGAGCCTTTTTGGTTTCGCATCACATGGTGTTCTGTGTCGAGAAGGCGCAAGCTGCGCTGCTTACGTCAGTTGTGTTGAGCGCGGAAAGCTTAGATTCCATGAGGGCACTAGACTTGTAGATGCTGGTGGCCGCATGCAGAGTTGAGCCTGCTCTCAGGGCTGGCGGTGCTACGCCTCCCGATCACAGTCTGTCTGGAGATTCTCACAGGCCGCGTGCGCATGCTCGCACAGGTCTGCTACGGTCTGCTCGGTTGCATGTCCTTGCGGTTGCTGGAGCCAAGGCGAACACAGAAGTGACATGTGAAACGGCTTTGTAGCAGGGGTGGCCCCCTAAGAGTATGTCGGAGGCATCTTGTACTGTTGAAGAGCATTGAGTGGGCATCGATGATCCCCAGAAGGAAGTTGCAGGTGGGTCTGGGTAGCTGCTCTCAGTTGAATTAACCTTGGCAACTTCTTCCTCACCCATTCTTTGCCTAGTGCGCAAATTTCTTTGTACCAAGTTTATCCGAGCACACAGCCGCGAACGAGTGCAAGCCACACACATGTAGTATGCAACTCACAACAGGTCTCTGCCAGAAGCTGGGCGCATCATGTCGACCAGAAGGCCAACTTGCCATCGTTTGTGTAGTACTATAGCTCTCTGATACTGTGGCCATCATGTAGATGGCCCGAAGGCGGCTCAGAGTTTATTCTAAATTTAACTGTTGCAATCCTGTGAGGCGCTTGCGGTGATTGTCCACTCCTGGCTCGCGTTGGCTACAACAAAAGCAAGCAAACATGCTGCTAAGGTACGGCGCTTGTTAAGATGCACAATGAATCACTAGCAAGTCCGGCGGCCCCTGCTTCTTTGTGAGACTGTTTCGTGCTCATAGGACGAAGTGCATTCAACACTTCGAGGCTTCATGCTCTTTGCAGACATGTGCCGCGATGTAACGCATTGACAATCGTTGACACCAGAACTGGAACGTCACGCAAAGCCCTCTCGAGGCTTGGATGCCTGCCTCATGCGCACAACACTGCACCTGCACCCAGTAAATGCTTGAAGCGACACCTTTGAGGAATGCGCGGAACGTAAGCTCAATGCTGAGGTTGCTTTGGGCTTCTGCGTCAGCTCACCAAGCTGCGGCACGGCAACTGTCACACAAGAAGGCGGGTCATGAACTAGACCCGTTTTGCACGGGTCACGAGAACTTGCTCTTGCTTTGCTTGTCTCTGATTCTTGGACGGCGTCTTTGCCCCAGTAGCCGTAGGGAGCTACCAGTAGGTGGGATACGCTGGGATACCGCCATGTATCATGAACACGGACCTTCCTTAATACTGGCAAATTAGCATATGAAGAGAAATAGCAGCAATAATAGGGAAGTGATGGCCTGCGAGCATGTCTGGGTCCGCCCGTATCTCGAGGGCCTAAGCACAGAATTCAATCGACGTCGCAATTCCGGAACTGTGCCTCTAAAACCACATTTAAAACCACGACGTTTGAAATCCCTAGCCCCTATCTGGAGAGCCTCTACGAGAGCGCTTTTAAAGGAGCTTCCCAACTGGAGAGCACTTGTGCCTCAGAAACGACATTTGTGAAATGTTTGAAGCCCTGCGTTCCAAACCCCCCCCCCTTAAGAAGTTACTTCGGAGCATTTTTGTTTGTGGTTTGCTGCGTTTTTGTTGTGGTTTGTTTGTGTTTTTCTTGGGGCATGAGCTCCTTCTCGTCTGGGTGGGCCAGTGGCGCGTGGGCAAGTGATAGAGCCTATATCATATTGGGGGAAGTATAGTCTGATTTTTGTGTTGCTGGTTCTTGGTTTTAGTGGAATGGAATAGGGGGGGAAAGAAAAACAGAGTCAAAGAAACAACGCAACAAAACAAAAACACACGGCAAGAAATACATAAAGGAATACAGAAAGCATAAAATGAATAAGTCAACACGCAAAGCGACGACAAGGCCAGAAAGAAAGACAGATGGGAAGGGATGAACATGGAACAGTTTCCACCAGCGAAGACCACAAACGGTTTCGACCACAAAAGTGAGGTTAACAATTTGGTCTCAAAGAATGAGGAACGGCGGCAAGTAACCCGAAGAGCCCTAAACGATCACCCCCACAGGAACATAGGCGTGACACAGTGGCAGTGGCACCTTTGCTTGAGCATCACAAAAATTCGTGAGTGCCCCGGATGGACAAAACAACCGCAACAAAGTGGCATTTTAAGAGTTCCAGCAAAGGCCCTGGCAACTCTACCTGCACCTGCAAACATCTGAGCAATTGGGCAGCCTCAACAGATGGACTCATTTGCAACTCCTGAACCAGCACGCAGAGCAAAAATGGCCGCAACAAACTGGTGCCGCTTTCCAAACCAACTGCATCTCGTCTGTTCTTGTGGCCCTGACAGGCAGACTAGCCCTTACGGAGTTTTCAGAGTTGCTGGTGCGAACATTGCGATAGCAATGAAAGACGCCCAGCCACACCAGTCCCCCAATGCAGAAATGGCGCCGTTGAACTGTAACAGTGCAGTCTCGAAACACAGCCTTGCCTGTCTAATCAGAACACAAGTCCCCACAACATAACGATGTCGTCTTCACATGCTGACCGATAAGATTCGACTGAAAGGATGGCACGGGTCTCCGCAGGATCAGGGTGATTCTCGGCCTTAGGTGGTGGTTTGAGGTTTGGAGTTTAAGGTTGAGGGTTGAGGGCAAAACTTGCCACCTGCAAGAATTCTCCACAGCAGGGCCGGGCAAAACCAGCAAACCGGAGCAAAGGGAGACAAGTGGAGACACGAGCCACAGGAAACCCGGCAGACCCCATCCAACATGAAGGGAGAGAAAATGAGACAAGGTCAGCCACCGCAAACCCGGAAGACCCATCCAACATGAATGGGGACAAGGAGAGACAAGCGGAGACGCAACCTACGCAGGACACCCCGCACACCCATCCAATGTGAAGGGGGACAAGGGAAACAAGTGAAGACGCCGGCAAGAAACCTGGAAGACGCGTCCAACATGAAGGGAGACAGTCGGAGACACAAACCACAGGAAATCCGGCAGACAAATCCAACAGGAAGGGGGACCATGGGAGAGTGGAGACACTGGCACCGGAAAACCCACAAGAAACCTTCCAACATGAATGGAGACAAAGAGACGGAGACATCCAACATGAAGAGGTACAAAGGGAGAGTGGAGACACCGGCTGCGGCAAGCCCGGCAGACCCACCCAACATGAAGAGAGACGAAAAGAGGCAAGCCGAGACACACACGGGAACCGACAGACCCAACATGGAGGGAGAGACAAGGACAGAGCCAGCGCAAACCTGATACACACATCCAGCGGAGAACAAGCCACGGGAAACCCAGCACACCCATCCAACATGAAGGAAGACAAAGTTATAAAAGTGGAGACCCGAGCCATCACGAGTTACACGACGCCCGGCAGACCCATCCAACATCAAGAGAGGCAAAGGGAGAGGAGACAAGCAGAGATACAAGCAGAGATAGACACAGGCCGCGGGAAATCCGACAGACCCGCCCAACATGACGAGAGACAAAGGGGCCGACAAGAATCAGCGGCGACCCGGCAGACCCATCGAGACAAAGGGGGACAAGCGGAGACAGAAGCTATTGGGCACCGAGCACACCCATTCAATATAAAGGGAGACAAAGGCAGACAAGCGGAGTCACAAGCCACGGAACACCTGTGAATATGATTCCTATCAAAATGAATAGGCAATCTCAATAGGAATCTTAACAAATGACCTCGACCCTAAGGGGGAGGAAGGGGGCAGGGGGGGGGTGTATGCACAAGTTTCTTGGTAGTCGCCTTACAACATCTGCCGTTGCGTTGATCCGTGACATTGCGGGAAGGTCCTTCAGACTGTTTGGCACAAGTGGCGTGCTGTAACGACCGTCCAAGCTCGGAGCCGGCCTGAGGTTGAGTTTACAGCTCGGGGGTAGCTGGCGCATCTCCAGATTTTACAGCTGTTCACGCTACAGGCACCACAGGCCCAAGCTTCTGGTTGCAACGACCCAGGCCTGGTTGCGTGAGGACCCCATGCAAGCCCGCTTTCAATTTGCCAGCTGCGTCGCCCACCGAACCGGAACAAGATCCCGACCTAGCAGGCAGACACGAAGCCTCACAGTGCATAGCCTTCTTCAGTTACAACCAACATGTCGGGAAGTGGTCAAGAACTTGGCTGAACGAACATACAAGTGACCTAGAGCAAACCGAAGGGTGCACTCTGCTGGGCCTGTTTTCATCAGTTACGCGACTGCGACTTGTCGCTTGAGTGACCATCGGCTGCAGACCATCGAAGCCCCCTTAAAATAGTCAGGACAGGCAAGTCCAACGATCGGCCTTGGTATCTTGGCGTGCTGTGGTCCTAGCCTTCAGCTCAGATCCCCCATGAATCCAGCCTACAATATCCTACAGTAGCCTTCAGAAAATTGGAAGAGTGGAGTCAGCTCGATGCTGTAGTCAGCAGTCAGCTCGTAGCTGCTTGTAGCGCATCTGACCAGATCTGAGCATGGCACACAACCTTTCCAGCATGCGTTCTAAGGCTACCGAATACACTCGCGATCTTCGAATGCTGCGACCTTTGCAAATCCACGAATCCAGAGGGTCTTGCCAGCTTCACGGGCCTGAGGCTTCAATGCCGACTTTCCACTGCCGTTAGCCATGCCGACCGCCTCGCCCATTCTCAGCAGGTGGGCTGACGCCGTTCTGTAGAATACATGGCTCTGTTCTATGTTGCCTCAGTACCAGGACTTGGGCTTGTGGGCCCTTCTCATGCATGCTGTTCTGTCGTGGCGTGCAAAGCCCTCAACTGCTGTGGGGTCGGGCATCTACTCGTGTTTGCATCAAACTCCGAGTCCTGTTCTTGCACCTGAGGCCCTGGCGCTGCAGATGTCAAAGGCGACCTGTTAGAGCTTATGGAGAACTATCCGGGTCATGAACCCTAAACCCTAAACCCTAAACCGCCACCCTAACCCCTAACACCCCTGGGGATGTGCCGATGGAGTCTGCAGTCCGAGCGAGGATCGACTACGTCGCAGCCATGCGGACGCCCCTTCCACCAAGGTGGCTTTTCAGATGCCAAAGACTTGTTGTGGTCCTTGGTTCGCACACGCATGGGACCAACACTGATACTTGCAACACAGGGCCTCGGGCCGGGTGAGTAGAAAATCAATTCCGCTTGTTGTTTCCGTTTATGGTCTTGGGGAAACGGAATCGGGGGGGGTAGACCCCCCCGCCGCGTTCCATTTTGGAGCCCAGTGTAGTCTGCAACAACAATTTGAATGGAATCGCGATGGGAGTGACCCCCCCCCCTTTCGCTTCCGAGCCCTGCCATCAAAAATGGAATCACCAGGGGGTGGACCCGATTCCGCTTGCTAGACAGCATGTTTGTTTACTTTCATGTAAGCACAGGTGCTGCAATGTCCCAATGTTTTGGTCTGAAAACGAAAACTTGGGACGGTACCGCATGTTTTGCTGCCCCAGACGCACGGCACGGGATCCGAACTGAAGTGCGTTATCCGTCTCTCTCTCTCTCTCTCGCTCATTCTCTCGCGCTCTCTCTCTCTCTCTCTCTCTTTCTCTCTCCCTGTCTCTATCTCTCTCTCTGTCTTTTCCAGAGCAAGCGAAGATGCACAAATAAGCAGAACGACAGCACATAGGAAGTGAAGACGCACCAACCTCGCAGTTAGTAAGCGACGGTGCACCCCAATAAGCAAACAGGCGCATATAGAGCGAAGATGCACCACTAAGCAAAGCAGCTGCATATAGTGAGCGAAGACGTGCCAGCAAGCAAAACAATCGCACAGGAAGTGCAGACACACCAGCTAACAAAGCGAAGGCGTACCAATAAGCAGAACAATCGCATAAAGTGAGCGAAGACAGCAATATCAAAACAACTGCATATAGGTCATATGGTAAGCGAAGAGGCACCAGTAAGCAGAACAACCGCACATAGCAAGCGAAGACGCACCACTGAGCAAGACTGGGAATCAGGAACACTTTGTAGGTGTTCACGAATCCCCCCGATAAGCAAACCCGGAATGAGGAGCCGTGCGTCATGAGCAACAAACCAAGCTTACAAAGTGACGACAGTCACGAGGAATGGCGCGACCTACGGGCAGCTAGCATTTCGTTTCCCCAGACCTCCAAAGTGCTGTAGTGTCCCAAGCTTCTTGGGGTCTGAAGCGACAAATTGGGACGGTACAGCATGTTTGCTGCCCCAGACCCCAAAGGTGCTGTACAGTCCCAAAAACACTCTCAATGAGCAAAAAGGCGGAACTGTCCCAATTTTTTTGACCTCACAGCTGGAGGAACTCTGGGAGGTTCGAAGAGATTTTTTTGTTTGTTTGGACGTACAGCAGTTTTATCTTTGGGATTGGGTTTCCTTGGACAGCACAGCACTTTTGCTCTCCTGGACGTCAAAAGTGCGGTACTGTCCCAAGTCCCCATCCCGCGGTAGGTGTGGGAGAATGATTTTCTGGGCCTCGCTCGTTGTTTCTGATCGGCCACGCCTCGTTCGCATTAAGGTTTGCCTAGATGTTTAAATTAACATGCCACACCTCATGAGGTCCTCTTCTGGGGCGCCTGTTTGCAAAATCTCATGTCATTACATTTTGACCCGGGACATCCAGGCAGTCACTTACTCCACCATACTCCAGGAAAGCTCTTCGCTGGCTATCTTTTAAATGGACAGAAAGACATCTGTTGTGGGGAAGCGTTTAGTTGGCTAGCTTGAAATGAATAGAGATGCAGGTAGGAAACGCAAGTCGCGACCCTATCTTGCTAAAGAAGACATTTTTCTAGGATCTATTCTTATCGCGGGGTTCAGGGCTTGGGGAGTTTAGGCGAACTGGTAGTGTTGGACTGGCTTTAGTATAAGGAGGGTCTATAATCACAAGTTTCGAAAAATTATTTTGCGAACCGAGTTTGTTCAGGGTACCCGCCATTATCGCAAGTTTTTTTCCGGAGTTTTTTTTGTTTAAGGGTTTGTGTTTTGGGTTAAGGGCTTACGCAGTAAGGCTTGAGGCCCTGAGGGTCTTGGGCTCCAGGAATCTTAAAGAGCCAGAGCGCGGAGAATCCAGAAATCTAAGCCCGGCCAGTTCCATGTAAAGCCTTCTGGAAATTCGTTACGAAACGAGGCCCCAAGCAAATTTTGTGACAGGTAGCCCACGGGCCGGTCGGGCCGTCTTTAGTAAGTTTGTCTGGCTACCCTCTAGAATACCAAGTCATTTTTGGATGTTGTTTTTAAAGGTTTGTGTTTAGGGTTAAGGGCTTACGCAGTAAGGCTTGAGGCCCTGAGGGCCTTGGGCTCCAGGAATCTCAAAGGCTGGGAAGCTTCAGGCCTGAAGGCTTGAGGCCCTGAGGGCGGTTCCCCCCCCCCCCCCCAATTTGTTTGGGGGGGGGGGTCGCCGCGCCATGCGTTTATAGAGGGTCCCAAATTTGTTGGGGGGGAGACTAAAGACAGTGCAACATTAACATGGACGCAATCATCGTGCGGGCGTGGATGCCCTAACATGCACTAGTAGCATGAACAAATCATGCGCGGGCATGGATGCTCTGGCCACGCGCTGGTACCATGGACGTAATCATCGCGAGGGCATGGATGCTCTGGCCCCGCATGCACTGGTAACATGGACGTAACCATCCATGCCAGCGCCACTCGCACGAGCTGGTAACATGGAATTCGCACGCACTGGTATCAAGGACGAAAACATCGTGCGGGCGTGGCTGCGCTGGCCATTCGCATGCAGGACCTGCCGGACTGGCACCTGTTCGGAATGCGCTATCGCCATGTAGCTCTTCAGGTTCTCGGTATGCGGCTCCGACATCAGGTGGGACTCTGCTGCTCGTTTCTGACAGACCATACAATAAGGGTCGTCGGTCTCGTTGTTCACGAGCGTTTGCCATGACCCTTCGAAGCGGCGACATATCCAAGTCAGCCAGCCGGAACTTGCGAAGCGACGCTTGCCTTTCCGGGTCGGTCCGGTGAGGTAGTCCGGAGGTGGCCCACTCGGTTCCCGAACGACGGGCCGCTCCTCCATAGGCTTCCGCTCCTTTGCCGGCTTCTCCTTCTTGGGCTTCGATGCAGCGTTCTTGGCTGCTCTCGCTTCCATGAAGCGTCGCCAGGCCTCTTGGGTCGTTGCCCTTTATCTCGTAGCTGTCGGATTTTCCCTCCGAGGTCTTCTTCTCCCTTTCCTCCAGGAACTTTTCCCAGACCGAGGTCTTCTTCTCTTCCTTCGAGGTCTCCTCTTCCTTCTTCGGGGCCTCTTTCTTCCTCAGTGTCTTGGGAGTTGGCCGCATCAGCGTGGGCGCTGTGGCCTTGTGGGAGGACGGCCGCTCCACCATCGTGGGCTCTCTGGCTCGATGGGATGATGGTTGCTCCATCATTGCCACATCTTCGGCTACTTCCGCCGTCTCCTCTTCGGATGGCGGGGGTGATGGAACGTAGATCGTGACCGGAGAAGTCTCCTCGTCTTGTAGGGGACCGAGTCGCTCCTCTTCTTCGGTGATTCGGTTCACCTGGTGCTCGTTCACGAGTAGCATCCTGCGCGCTCGCGCTCCCTCTCGCATACCCTCCAGCTCGCTGATAGAGCGGACCATTGTCTCGCTCATGGCTGGCTCCACCTCCATTGGCTCCTCTTCCATGGTGCGCTAAGGCGTCTACCACAAAAGACGGTGGCTCCTGGTGCTTTGGGCATCCAAGGCTTTCGGGCAGATACTTGGGAGATTGCTCTTGCAAATCACGACCAAAACACGCCAAGGAAATGTTTGCTTCTGTGGTGCTACTGTCACACGCATGCACAAGCCACTCGACTGCTGGTGTGGTGTTGTTGTTTTGCTCCCCGTGTGAGATGATGTTGTCGTCTGCACAAGAAAACAAACATGTATGACTGTCAAGCTAATGGAAAACTGGCATGTCCGCATGACTGACAGACTCAAAGGGACTAGGCGCGGCGCCCAAAAGCTCATCAACGGCCCTTAGTTTCTCCTTAGTCTCTCCTTGGTCCAGGTCAGCATGCTCATGGCTCACATGTCCCTTGCAGTCACTCATCTCATCAAGACATGAAATGTCCAGCAATTCAGGGTTTTTGGGCTCAACACACACTCTCGCAGAATTTCGATGACCGCGGTTCGAGGTCGAACGATGAAAATCACGATCAGCGGATGACTTTCGAGATCGATTTTTGCGATGTTGTTCCGTTTTGGCGATCAAATCCTGAAGCTTCAGAGCTAAAGGATGGTCACTCCGTACTGACGCAAGCCAACTTACTGAGGCAAACAAGGTGGGCTTCAAAGTTACGCCATGCTTGCGGACAGTGATTCCGCCTTGCTGTACGCATAGCGTTGGTTCCCAACCACCGTTCTGACAAAGCAAATTGATGTTCAGCAAATTGTGCTTGATCTGATCGGAAATGACTGCTTCAAACCTAGCTTTACACATGTACACAGCGTCACTCTCATGCTCAGAACTGCTCTTCGATGATGCTGGGGTGGTGGTTTCAAAGCAAACTTCCACCAAAACATGCGTTGATCCGCCAATCTCAACGGAATCTCCAGTCGCAGTCTCCGCATAGGACTTCGGGCGTCCTTCCAACCAACTCAGGATCTTCACGTGGTCGCTCTCAAGCGTCTCTCTCGTGATGATGTGGAACGAACTACCAGAGTCAATCAGCCAGTAAATGCGATCATCTGAAGGAAAACTAACCACCTGGTTCGTGAGCATCATACCAAAGTGATATCCTTCCAGAAACGTCTTGATTGATGACTGTGCTTTTCCACTACCCTTGGTTGTGGGCTGCGCTGCTGCTTTCGCCGATGTAGACGATGAAGACGATGGTGCCTCTGGCTGCGTCGTAACGGCCTGGCTCGTCGCCGCTGCGGCTTTGTCCTTCGAAGGTGCCCAGCAGTCGCGTGCCCAGTGTCCAGTCTTCCCGCAGTTCCGGCAGACATCTGTCTTCTTCGCCTCTCTGCTCTTGCTCCGAGCTCTGTCTCCTTTTCCGCCTCGGTCACCTTTCCTGTCCTTTCCTTTCGCTTTGCCACCCTTCTGTCCCTTTTCTCCTTTCTCGCCTTTGTTGCCCTTGCTGCCCTTGGAGCCTTTGTTGCTCTTGTCTCTGTCGCCCTTTCCGCCCTTGCCACCCTTGAAGGCATTCGCATACCCGGATGCTCCTTCTCTCTGGAAGTCCATCACACGAAGCTGCTCGTCGTAAAACTGCAAACCAGTCATCAGCTCACCCATGCTCTTCGTTGAGTGATGGAGGAGCAGATATCTCTTGGTCTCAGCATCCAAGTGCTTCATCAGGCACAAGACTCCCTCTTGTTCTCCGATGAGCAACTCCGGGAAGCGATGCTTCACCTGCGCCTCGAACTTGAGAAGTTCTGTGGTGTACCACCTAGCGACATCAAGTGGCCGCTTGAGGTGCTTTGGCGGCACCAGGCCTAATGCCTGCTCGCGAAGGGCTTGTCCTTCTACTCTGGAGCGAACGGACAACTCGTTGTTCAGCGAACGCCAGAGTTCGTATCCGGCACTTGCTCCCATCTGCTTCACCTCGATGAGATGCACCAAATCCTGCCCACGCTGGAACTTGCTCATGGACTGACGAAGCAAAAGCCAAAGTTTGGTTGACCGAGCTGCCTTCCCGGCTTCAAGCTTCACCTGCAAAACTTCCACATTGCTACTAATCGCCTCCTGCAACTCCGTAGCGTACCGGTCGTCAAGTTCCATGGGAGGTTGCTGCCACGTTGCTGGCGGGGTTGCAGGTTCCGGTATGCTCGCCCCACGGGCGGCATCCGGTGTCGCAGGTCCAGCCCTTGCTGGTCGCCACTCCCCCCAGTTGTCCTCGTCGGAGTCCGACACCGAGATCGTTGTACCCACTGCCTTGGGCGCTGCAGAAGGTTCTGGCACAGCCTCCTCCGTGGTCACAATCTCCATGTCGTTGGACGAAGCATCCGGGGTCGCTGGTCCCGGTACGGTCTCGGCTCCCATGGTGCTGTCCGGTCCGAGGGCGTGGACTGCGAACCCTCTCCCCTGGCGAGGACCAATCTCGAGCTCCAAGGCTCGTTCATCGCCTGCTTGAGCGCACCAGCGCAGATTGATTAGCGCACCAGCGCAGTTTGATGAGCGCACCAGCGCAGATTGATTATAGCGCACCAGCGCAGATTGATGATCAGCGCAGCGCACCAGCGCAGATTAGCGCACCAGCGCAGACTGATTAGCGCACCAGCGGAGATTGATTAGCGCACCAGCGTATTACACAGGAAGCCTGGTGCAGCCCATTGCTGCCTAGCATTGTACTGTTTGCATGGTCACGTGCTGGCGCGCACCAACTTCTGTAAAGCAAGCGCCTCTAAATTTTAGCATGCCTCCGCCCGAGAAGCCAACCCATGTGTCCCGAACCTGAGGCGAGCCGGCAGCCGAAGAGGCCGGAAACGTTTGGCCCAGTACCGTCCTGAGACAAAATTTCGCTTAGCTCACAACGCTCAGGAGACAAAGCTTCTCTTCTGACTTCAGCCTGCAACGCCAGGCGTTGTGTCCAGTCAATTCAGTGCAAGCATCAGACGCCGCTGCTATCAAGAACAAAGGTCTTCTTCGCATGGCATCAGACCATGCAGGCGGCCAGAAAGTGCTTGTTTTGGCACCAAACGTTTTGATGACCTCGGGGGCTGAAGGTTTCGCTGTTCGCAGATGGCCACGGTGAATCCGCCTTCCAGGACAGCCAGCTAGTAGGGATAACGGTGATAATGGTAGTAGTGGTGGTGGTGGCAGTTCGAGTTTTTTGCCATGCCGCAGCCAAGTGGAAGCCCAGAAGTCCTGTGTGCTTAAAGCCCAAACCCCAGAGCCCAAAAGACCTACGTGCTTAAACCCTCAACCCTAAACCCAAAACCCCACAGCTTCAAGCGGAAGCCCAAAAGTCCTGTGTGCTTAAACCCTCAATCCTATACCCAACACCCCACAGCTTCAAGCGGAAGCCCAAACGTCCTGCGTGCTTAAGCCTTAAGCCCCACAGCTTCAAGTGGAAGCCCCAAAGTCCTGTGTGTGCAAAGCTTCAAGTGCAAGCCCAAAAGTCGTAGACCCAAACCCCAAACGCTCAAGTGCAAGCCCAAAAGTTGTGCAGCCTTAAACTCTAAACCCAAAAGCCGCAAGCCTAATAGCTCTCTGCCCTTAAACCCTAAACCGTTTACCTTAAAGCCTTAAACCCCCCCCTCTCCCCCCCACCAGCCCCAAGCCTCCCCCCTCCCCCCCCAAGCCAAGCCAAGCCAAGCCAAAGCCAATTTAATGATGAAAATACGAAATCCAAGGCCCCCATACGAAATCCGAACTCTTAACCCTAAAGCCTAAACCCGAGGCCTAAACCTTAAAGTCCCCGCTCCCCCAACACCCCCCCCCCCCCCCCCCCCCCCCCCAAGGCTCCCCACCCCCAAGCCAAGCCAAAGCCAATCATGAAAATACAACGCAAGGCCCTCATGCGAAATCCAAGGCCCTCATACCACATCCGAGGCCCTCATAGGAAATCCAAGCCCTCACCGCAAATCCAAGGCCCTCATATCAAATCCAAGGCTCTCATAGGACATCCAAGGACCTCGTACGAAATCCAAGGCCGTCATAGGAAACCACTGCGAAAACGATACGAAGCCACAAAAACCACACAGACACGAAGATACAAAACAGAATCACGACACGAAAACAGTTTTTCAAAAAAAGACGAAATCAATGTAAATAACGATACGAAACGAAAAGAAAAAAGCACGGAGTCGGCAAAATCCGACATGGACCCCATGACACAAAACACTGCAAATACCGATACGCAATAAACTGTTTGTAAAGAATAGCGCAGCGTCAAATACGGCAAGAATGGAGTAGTAGTAGTAGTAGTAGTCGTCGTCGTCGTCGTCGTCGTCGTCGTCGTCGTCGTCGTCGTGGTCGTGGTCGCGGTCGCGGTCGTGGTCGTGGTGGTCGTGGTGGTGGTGGTGGTGGCAGTGGCAGTGGTAGTGGCAGTGGAGTGGGAGTGGGAGTGGTAGCGGTAGGGGTAGTGGTAGTGGGAGTACGCCTGTTTGTTGACGCCACGTTTGCGTGGTGTACGGGGATCGGAAGCACTCTAAATACCATGATTTTCACGAGGAGGAGTTCTTGGGGGGTTTTTGATATTTTGGGGTCGTGACGATTCGTGTTGATTGCGTGTGCTTGAAAACACCGTAAATGCCGATGTTTTCGCCGATGTTCTGAAACCTTGAACAAGCCCAAAACCAAAGCGGCTTACCCTCACCTCACACCCCCAGGCCCCCAGAAGGATCCTGCAGTCACACAAGCCCAGAAAGCATTAGGCGTCAGAGTCCTCCACGTCCTGAAGTCCCTGTCCTCCGCACTTTTGCAGAAGCCTTCAAGCCTTCACATTCGTGCACACTCCCTAGAGCGCGAAAGACAAAGCCATAAATCGGGCAGTACATTTGCACGAATACTCTGCCCCCACCCCCCACCCCATCCCATGCCCCTGTAGTCTTTGTCCAGGCTTAAGTAATGAAGGAGAGAAACAACGCTGAAAACCCGAGGAAAATCATGGTTTCACGTCACACAAGGGAAACATGAAAAGTACAAGTACCCAAAAGTATGAAACAGAAGGCAAGACAAAAAGGGCACACAAAACAGGCCGTGAAAAAGGTGCCAAACACATCAAAAAGAAGCGAAGTTGTCGGCAGCGTGCAAAAAGTAGAATGAGAAGGCTGCGTCCTAACTTCCTACACCCTTGAAGCGTTCTCTGCTCGAACCCGCTTCTTGGTATCCCCTTTCCCCTGTCGGGTTCAAAACCCTGAAATGTTGACAAAAGTGGCGAATTCTAGTGGTACTACTACTACTACTACTACTACTACTACTACTACTACTACTACTACTACTACTACTACTACTACTACTACTACTACTACTACTACTACTACTACTACTACTACTACTACTACTACTACTACTACTACTACTACTACTACTACTACTACTACTACTACTACACTACCACTACACTACCACCACTACCACCACTACCACCCCTACCACCACTACCACCACTACCACCACTACCACCACTACCACCACTACCACCACTACCACCACTACCACCACTACCACCACTACCACCACTCCCACCACTCCCACCAGTCCCACCACTCCCACCACTACCACCACTACCACCACTACCACCACTACCACCGCTACCACCACTCCTACCGCTCCTACCACTACGACCACTACGACCACTACTACCACCACTACCACTACCCTCGATTCGACAATTTTGCAGCAGGATGAGCGTGGCTTGCTGCACAGCGAGCCCAATTCTTAGCGTGGACTTGGTCCCCTCAAGCATGCAAGCCATCAAGCGAGCGCCAATATGCAACAAGGCTGATGAGGCTTAAGGAAGAAAGCAAACATCGCGCCATTGATTTGCTGCGAGCTCAGATATTGCAGTGAAGCACAGTTAGGCTCGAACTGCTTTTGCTGCCACAGGTTAGAAGTTATGGCACTTTCCCGAGAGGCAGCTGCGTTGACAGGTAGCGTGAGAAAGATGCATTTGTTTGTGCTAGAAGGCGCTCACGTTTGCCCGAATCAGCGGCATTGGGCAGCTCAACACCTTTAAACATGTTGCGAATTGAGGTGGCTCAAGTCCTTTCAACATGTTGTCACTGGTGGATTGAAGACGAAAAAACACATGTGTGAAACTTCTCGATGCTGCCTCCCTACAATGCAGTAAAGTAGCTTGCGACACTTCGACAATCTACAATCCCCTGCATTCCAGACCTGCAGAAGTCACGGCGCAATCGGGCACCATCAGCACATGCATGCATGCACAAGACAGCAGGATATTATGATTCGTGAGCTGAGTGCTGCCTGAAGAGATCTTGAGCAAGGAGACACGTTGTGCCTGGCTCACGTTGTTCGCTGTGCTGCTCACGGCCTTCTGCGTCGCTGGCACATAGCTCGTGTCCTTTAGCTGCCTTTTGACTGGCTGCTATGGGATGGCCGGAATCCCAGCCAACGATGTAGCCGTGGCATGTGTATTGTGGACAGCTGCTTGAACGGAGTTGGTCGTATGATCAATCCCCACGAATTCCCTTACTTTTAGAATCTGCCAGCAGCGATCTCGTGCTCAAAGTTCTTGGAAGTCAGAATCCATCCTTTTTCCCATGCGATGCATTATGCTGCATTCCATGGCCCAAGACATGACTAGGTTGACTAGGTGCCCAGGGAAATACTTGTACAAGAGCAGGACGAGTACTCCAGCCATTGGGGAGTGGCTAGGGTCCAGCTCTAGCTGAAGCAAAAAGCAGGTGATGGCGGATCCGCAAAGTACAGACACGTCATGAAACCGACAGAGCACAAAATTTGAGTTGCGGCCCGTAAAGTAGATGCTGACTGCTGCATGCTGTCCTGTTTCGCATGCATGACGGATGGATCTGCAGAGTGGCAGCATGCCGTACGAGGTGTTGCTGTTGAACCACAACGCGAGGTTGTCATCTTCAGTTCTGAGCGTTTGGCCTGAGCTTGTGCAGGTGCGCTGGCCAAAGTTGATAGATCTTTGGACGAGCAAGTCGTCCGCATTGAAAAGGAGTACCTGGAGGCAACAGATTTGCATTCAGGTGATTGGCCGTACTTGCGTGTCTCAAAGCAACCGTTGGGTCTTTCCTCTTCTACTGGCTTAGACGCCATGGGCTTGTAGTCTGGTGCGTGTATGCTAAGCTTGGACAGTTTGATCAAGCCAGTGATTTTGGCCCCTGGTTTTTGGCTGTTTGGCATTTTTGCCCAAATGCATAGCAAAAAGGTTCCCGGATGTCCCCGTTTTCAAAGGTTGGGGGTTCAAGGCCTCGGAGGCGGCCAGACGTGGCAAGCGTCCACGAAGCGGTCCGAGAAGCGTCCGCAAAGTGTTCGCGCATGAGTCGCACCCTCCTGGGTAGCCGTCGTCACTTTCGAAGGTTGAGTCCTCAAAAGTTCGGACAGTTCCGAGGACGGGACATGTGGGGTCGCGCCATCCTCGTGACAGTCGTGACTTTTTGAGCTTGTTTGGTGTTCAAAGTTCAAAGTGCTGACAGTGACGAGGATGAGAGGCACATGGGGTGTGCCATTCTCGAACCAGGATTCCCCTCGCCCTAAGCAACATTTAGATAAAGCTTCTGTGCATATCACACAGGCGGAAAAGAGAGCACCAGGATTGCGAACCACATTGGCCCTCGGCAATCCAAGCATGGCTTAAGCAGGCAGCTCAAACACCCGTTTGCAGGAACAGGAGAATACATGACCCTTGAACTGGCCTGACTCGTTGTGGGGTGGTGGGAGATAGAAGTTTCGTAGCAAAAGAAATGTGGAGCCCAACAAAAGGCCCCAAAGAAAGCCAGGGACCAAATGAAATAGTTCCTTGCCCTACCATGTTGTTGCTTTAGACACTGTAAGCATCGGAAAGTTGGCCTGTCATGCCCACATTGACCTGGAGAGGATGATCTGAATGGCTACACGATCTTGCAGGGCTTGTCTGTGGAAGACAAGAAGGTGAAGCTTGTTGCATCTTGTTGCTGAGTTGCGTGGCAGCATGAGACCCGCCCCCGCCATGGCCATGGACTTGCTGATTTGTACCAGGCATTGGTCGAAGAGTGCGTCCGTGTCCCATCACTGAATCAAGCGATGGGTGCCTTATGTGGCATGGCCGTAGGCAGGCTGCCACGAGAACCCCTTTTGCCACGTGCTGCAACAGGGTGTGATTGTGGTGATGTTGCTGGGTTTGTTGCAGGCGACGCGTTGGGCCATCCTTTTGAGTATATCACGGTCACAGACGTCCCTGGAACCTCCCACTTCGATCTGGCTACTTTGGAATTCCATGGGGAGTTTAACAAGTTTGCATGCAAGCGGGGCCAATGGACTGATGATGCGTCGATGGGCCTATGCATGGCGGATTCCTTCATTCTGCGCCAAGCATTCGATGGAAGTGACCTACGTCGTCGCTTCTGGTGCTGGTGGTTCCGCGGCTACAACAATGCTTTCCGGAAAGATCCTGAGCGAGAGTCCAAAAAATCAATCGGCCTGGGCGGCAACACGCAGAAGTCTCTTGAGCCATTGGTTGCGTGTTCAGAGACAGGCCAGGGATGTACTGTCCCGACATGACCCCAAAATCCGCATTGACATTCATGGACATTTCACGCGATGTCACACGAATCCACAGGCGTCCCACCCGAGTACGAGTCTGCCAGCGAGGATGCGGGCAACGGCAGTTTGATGCGGCCCTTAGCCTTCTCTGGACTTTCTTGGCATAACTCTCCCAGGATGCACCGTGAAAGCTCTGATAGCTGAGGTTGGCAGCCGTCCCAATCTTTTTCCATGCCCTTCCGCTTGAGGAGCTGTACAGACATCGCCTCAGCATGCTTGTAACGCGCCTTTGATCCACTAGAATCGCTTGACAACGGAGCGCGACTGCAGGTGTGGCCAGGAAGTCCTCGCTCACAACTCATCCAGGGTTTGTGGCGGCAGAGGCTTGTGCTTTCCTCGCTCATATTGTGCCAGGCTCAGTCCCGTGCAATGGCAGGAGGCCCAAGCCACACCCACACCGAAGAAAGAGACACGTATATAGAATTATATTATAGACCCACAGCGCATGGCCAGCATTATGAAAGATTGTGTTGAGAATTGGCAGCTCCCCCCAACCTCGGGTGTGCTGCAGCCCCACAGAGCAAACTCCCTAGAACAAGGTGAGGCAAGCGATGCGATTGCCGCCATCAAGTACAGTGACGGCAAGAGACTTCCTGGACAGCACCTCTCAGGACCCCTTTTTGGAGACCGGGAGCTGTCTCGCAACCTTTCTGACGCAGGTGAAGCCGTGTTTTTGCGTACGCTCTATCTTCTCCTTACACCAGCATGGGCTCTTATACCCTGCAACCCCTGAAAAGGCCCCTTTACAGGGTTGATTTTGGGGATTCTAGGGCCTCATAGCCCATCCTGGTAAGTCTGCTTCACCTCATTCTTGGGTAAAACTGAAGCCACCTGCGAAGCAGGAATTTTATGTGGCGTCGGGCCTTGCCAGCCACAGCGGCCCTGGCTTCGATGAGATGAAGTGGTCGCCTGCGTCTGGCAAAAATCTTCCTATATCTTCCTAAGACAGCAGATGATTCGAGACTAAGCCAATCTATGTGTTTATAAACCCTATTCTGGCAGAAGAGAGGAGGAGGCAGATGGAGAACCTGTTTCTGCTGCCAAAACGACACATCTGAGCTGAGTCCTTGATGCCTCGCTGATGCGTTTTTGTTACCCCATGTTCGCCGTTCACTCATCATGTTCACTCCTCCCTGTCCTTTGTCCGTTCACTCGCTCCTCGTTCCCTTCACGTCTGCAGAATTCCAAACTCACAATGGCATGAGCTGCACAGTGAGGCATAAGTTCAGAAAAAGCAGTGGGGGGTCAATCCCTGTCCCCTGTTCTTTAAGTTCCAGTCAGTGGCAGCAACCACGCTGCACGACTTTCCGCACGAAGACGCGAGACGTCAACGGGGGCCGTTGACCCTGGCGAATCCACGGCTTCAACGTCTTCGACGCCACAGTTTCGGACTGCGGACGTCATTGCTCTAAAGCATCAGTCTAAAGCATCTGGGGGAGACGCAGGGAGGAGACTTTTATGGCCGCGAGAGCGCGATCAAAGCCGGTGGGGACCAAATTCAGCAAACAAAGCAGAGCGAGACGCACTGCGCTTTTACCAAGTTCATGTAGCTAAGATAGGTCAGCCATGAATCAGTCATGAAGCCGTTGTTTAGGCGAGTATTGCGAGATTGTTCTGTGCCGTAGATTCCAGACCCCCGCAAGGCCCCCAAAGAGTAGCAGTCCCGCCCTGTCCAAAAAACGCAGAGTGGGTTCAGCCTTGGGAGCTGATAGAACGCGTCAGAAGCAGAAGTAGAAAGAGACGAGAGGGAGAGGGAACAGACCCGACATCAAGGGCGCGTGGTGTAAGGACCTTGCCGTGAGATGTTCATTCAGGCATGTCAAAACCCTAAACCGCTGAGCTTGGCAGGGGGCAGATAAAGTTGACCCAAAGCCCTCAGCAAAACGATTTTTCTTCGAACACCCCGACCGGGCCGTCCTACTCCGGGGTTAGGCACTCCAGGGATTTTCTGGGGACACACGACGGATTTTCTCGGGATACTCTAGGGTTGGGCTCGCCTGGGATTGTGTGGGGTTGGACACTCTAGGGATTCTCTTGCGAGACTGTGGGTTATGCACTCCTGCGATTCTCCAGCGATTCTCTGGGGAGACTCTCTGGGGATACTTGCTCCAGAGATTCTCTTGGGAGACTCTGCAGTTGGGCAATCCAGGGATTGTCGGGTGGGATACTCTAGGGTTGTTAGGCACTCCAGGAAAAAGTCTGGGAATGCTCTGCATGTAGGCGCTCCGGGGATTTTCTGGGGATACTCTCGGGTTGGGGAGTCGGAAGATGGGCGAGGAGTAGACTGGGCGAGGAGAAGCGAGGGTGGGAACAAGATGCAAACCGTGCTCAACTACCAAGACCTCACTCGGCCCCGAGGTTAGTCTCGTCCCAGCCGGTTCGAGACACTGAGCGGTGCTGGAATTGGAAACACGACACACTGGATATCGCTGCAACATTAGCAGCCCGTGGATGGAGCTACAATGGCTATCCAGTGTCCGCAGATTACTTTGGCTCTTATTCGTGGCCTAGCTGCACTAAGCAGTTGCCAGCAATGGCTAGCCTTCTCTACATGTCACGTAAAAACTAGCATCGGTAGCCTTTGTCGTGCGCTGTCGCTTGCCTGCGCTCGAGAATCTAGCTTTCGACACTGGGTGTGTGGAATGTGCTTAGGTCGCCCGTCGTTGCCCTTCATCCTGCTCGATCCGCTTCCCTGCCTTCACCTCCCGGCCCACATGTCGATCCGCCGCCCATCCGATCTATCCGCCCATCGACCGGCTGTCCACCCCATCCCGCGCCCCGTCCACCTAACCCTCCATCCCATTTTGCTCGCCACCCCACCCCCCAAGTATGCTCCTTCATCCACCGCCCCGCCGCCTACCGGCCAGCCATGGATCTCACTCGCCTTCCCGCTGCCCTTGCCCCGCATACCCCCGCCCCGCGCGACCAAACCTCACATCGATCTTTCATAAAGTCTCAAACTAACTAGAGTCTGAGGGCATCCGCACCCATGCAAGTGCCAATCAGGGCTCTCGCGTCGGGGTTAGGCTTGCGTCGGGTCTGTGACAAGCCACTAAGCTTCCTCTGTCTTCTTCATCCTCAATGACTTAGGACCCTAGTCACCCAGTCGCCTCAGCCAAAATTATAATCCATAGCGCTTGACGCTCGGAGCCTGGGTGTCACTGTCAGCGGTGAGACTTCAAGATGCTTCACTCCAGGTTGGATGGCCTTGCCGGTGCACTCTGGGCAGTCTACCACACAAGGCACCTTCGAGGGGTCTCGGAGCTGGAAAGCGTTGGAAAGCCGGCGCTTGAATCGCCACAAGGTCGTTCGATGAAGCCCTCTCGTGCGCGGTCAATCTCAATGGTGATGCAGATAGCTTCGGCTCCATCACAGGTGCTGGCTGCACATAGCTGCATTATGCATTGACAGCATGGCATGGCGTAAGAGCATGTAAGAGCATGAACAGTAGATGCAGGATTGCAATTGCGCGTTAACTTGCACAACTCTACAATGCAATTCGTAGTTGTGGCTATGCTTCGCCTGTCAGGGCAAATCGCAGGAGCGTTCTACGGTTTCTCCGCCATCAACCCGCAATTCCTCGACTGGCTTGTCAGGCTCTTCCCGCGTTTCATGGATTGCCAGGGTTCCAGAATGTCCCAGAATGTCCCAGAGGATTAAAGGACATTAAAGGCATCTGGAAGACCGGGCTTCAAAGATTGCACCTGGCATATGCAATCGACTGCACATAGTGCACCTAGGCGTATGCTTTCAAGCGGACCATGTCGGACAGTCAAACTGCAGTAGGCCGAAGTGGCGATAAAACGGGCTGTCCGACCACTTCAGAGCGAAGAGCGTTCCCGACATGGACACAACAGAAGCAAAACGGTTCTTCGGGATGTGCTGCCAAAGCAGTGTCTGTGTCCATTGATTCGCGAACGGGATGGAATGGGACGGGCTCTCCAATCCTGGCAAGACAGGCCGGTTCAAGACGGTTGTTCAACTTTTGCTTGCATTGCAGGTGGGATGATTATGATACGGCTGTACGCGCTCTCATGCTCTACCAACTTGGTCAAGATATCCAGTGAATTCTGCGCGGGCTGACATGGCTCCAGTGCAGAAAAAGATGAGAAAAATGTTTTGTTCCTCCATGGCTTGGCAAGACTGACAAGATCCCATGTGTGATGGGGGAAAGAACTACGAACAAGTAGGACCCCGTGGGATTCTCCTGCCGAGGCCAAGCGCGGCCGGAGTTCCACGCGCTGCGATGTGCTTAAGGCAAGGCATTAGTAGGCTTTCTTCCCATTGTCTCATGTGGTGTCGGGGTGGGTGGCTTTCATCTTCATGCTTGCTGGGAACTTGCTTGGGAACTTGCTTGCCTACATGAGCTGCCGGCCATGATTTCACAATGGATGTCCCGCAGATCGTCAGACCATGTCCCTTTTTGGAACAGGCCGCTGCCCAGTCCCTTTTATACTGGGAACACCCAAAGACATCCTGCAAGTAAAGGCTTGTGCAAGGTGGGCATGTAGTTCTGTAGTTCATGATGGCGCGATGCCTTAAACCCTGGGCCCTTAGCGGGGCGTTTCGTGCTGTACACCTTCTGCAAGACGCAGGGTGCTTTCAGAGCCAGCCCTGCACCGTCACATCCCTGGACAGGACCATGGGATAGTTTGTATATTTCCCTTATGGGGTGTTAAGAGGATCTTATAATTTAAAATAATTTTAAACAGGCTGTCGGGGCCAAGCTGGAACCTGCGCTGGGGAAGTGCGTGCCGCTGCCCTCGACACCTTGTCATGATGTCGTCGGCATGTTCAGTTGTATGATCTTGCCTTCTTCGAAAGAAACACAGGCGCAAAGTACTCAGCGCAGCTAAAAGTTCTTGCAGGCTGACAAGGTGTTTGCTTACGAAGACCATACTGAGAACAGAAAGCGTTCACCTCATTTATCCAAGCTTTTTCATGGTACTTCACTTAACATTGCTACCCTCAACGCCTGTTCCCTTTTGAAACCTTCAATGCATCATCAGATTGTCCAGTACATGAAGTCCAAGTGCATTGACGTCCTTTGTCTACAAGAAACCAAAGCCAAGCGTACTTCTTACTACATGATCGATTCGTTTACCTTCTACACATTCAGCAATGCGAGCCCCGACAAGCAGGAGCACTATGGTACAGGTTTTGCGTTGTCGCCTGCGGCAAAACGAGCGCTCTTACGCACACTCCCTAGCAGCAGTAAGGTGGCAGGAATTAGTTTACACACGGGAGCTGGGGAATTTTCAGTCATCACAGGTCATGCGCCGCATAACCAGCACACCGAAGAAACCAAGCAGGCTTTTTACGACGAACTCAACCAGCTCATAGAAAAGGTGGAAAACCGAGGCCCTTATCTCATTATGGGAGACTTCAATGCACGCATCCATGGTAGAATGCACGATGAGGATCTTGTCTTGGGGCCCCATTTGTACGGGAAAGGTGTTGGTTCGGTGGGAGGCGAACTGGATAACAGGAGCTTTCTCATCAATTGCTGCGTCCAAAACCAGCTCCTGGTTTCCAACACGTGGTTCAAGCACAACTCCGCCAAGCAGGTCACGTACAGGGAAGTAGGAACCGCTGCCCTTCCCCATGCCTCTGCTTCTTGGGACCCCAACTTGTTTGCTCAACTTGATCTGTGTCTTACCCCCCGGAGATGGAGAAACTTTGTGAGGGACGTTTCTTCCGATCCTTGGGCGAATGTTGACAGTGATCATTTCCCGTTGCTTGCAAAGGTGAGACTCAAACTGGGGGCTAGGCGCCAACAGGCGCCGCGCCCTCGCTGGGATTTCCATAGTGCCTCGCCCAGGAACATCCGCGAGATGAACGAAGCCCTGGAAGCCCGATTGAACGAAGTAGCAGGTCATGAGGACGTGTCCCAAAAATGGGACTTTCTCCGGGAAGTGTTTGTTCAGGCCATGGACGAACACATACCTAAATACCAGTTCGCACCTAGGAAACCCTGGATTAGCCAGAGCACCTTGGATTTGATTACGCGTAGAGGTGTCCTGCGCAGCCAAGGCGACCTCCAGCAGGTGGCAAAGTACAACAAAGACATTAAGCGTTCTGCAAAACGGGATAAGAAAAACTGGCTCGAAGAGCAACTACAATCAAATTCGTGGGAGCCGATTAAGCAGCTCAAGAAATCGTTCCCTACAAAGATGGTTCGACTTGAGCCTTCACCAAGTTTAGGGATGTCAGCAACAGCCACAAATGCGGATATCTATGCCGCTCACCTAGAGCAGGTGCAGTGGGCTCCTGCAAAGTCGAGTGGGGTTGACGATCTCTGCACGGATCTTTTGCCACACGCTGCCCCGGACATCGAAGAGGGCCCTTTGACCATGGCCGAACTCATTCAGGCTATTAAGCATCTCAAATCCGGCAAGAGTGCGGGACAAGATAATATTCCTAATGAGTTCTGGAAGAACCTTTCCGGCAAAGGCTTAGAGGCTCTTTTGGACTTGTTTCAAGATTGTTGGAGTCACGGCAAGAGTCCATCGTCTTGGAAGCAGTCCCAGGTTATAGGCATATTCAAGAAAGGTTGCGAGAGCGACCCGTCAAATTTTAGGCCAATTTCTTTATTGCAGACTTGCTACAAATTGTACGCCAGGGTGCTGGCTGCGAGGTTGTATGCAGGTCTGGACCCTGTGCTCCGTGACAATCAGTTCGGTTTTAGGCAAGGTAGGAGTACGAGCGACGCTATTTTTCTTGTTCGGCGCCTGCAAGACCTTGTTGATGCCAAGCGCAATCAAGTTCTGCACTTGTTGTTTTTGGACTGGAGCAAGGCTTTTGATACGATCAAACCCGCTGCGTTACACCTGGCGCTGCGTCGGTTGAAGGTGCCACCAACCATGTGCAAAGCAATCCTGGACCTCACGGCGTCTCCGGTTTTTCGTGTTGTTGTGGATGGTGAGGTTTCCGGGCTTAAGTCTCAGTCCAGCGGAATACGACAAGGATGTACCCTTTCACCTTTGCTGTTTATCGCAATGCAGACTGTTATGTTTCATGACATTCAAAGGACCTTCCTTGCGCAGCACCCGCTCGCTGTTACCCCTACAGTCTCCATGTTTGATATTGAGTTTGCTGATGATACTGTCTTGATATCTAGGAATTATGAGCATTTGCAAACTTTGTTGCAGATTGTGCAAACGGAAGCTGCAAAATACAACTTGCATCTCAATCATGGCAAATGTAAGCTTGTGTCCTACAACAGTCAGGCGGAGATCAACTTTATGGATGGCAGTAAGGTCCCTAAGGCCACCTCTGTGGTTTACTTGGGTGCTGTCATTGACTCGCAAGGTAGGCCGGGAAACGAAATCTCTAAACGAATTGGGGAATGCAGGCAGGTCTTCAAGAAGCTTATGCGGGTTTGGAAACACACAGGCATTTCGCGTGAAAGAAAACTGCGCATTTACTATGCTTGTGTCGTCAGCAAGTTGACCTACAGCATGTCTACCATGTGGCTCACTGATAAGCATAACAAGATGTTGGACGCTTTTCATATTAAATGTTTGCGTTCAATTGCAGGCATTCCCACCACTTGGGGTGCTATGGTCATCGGATGTGAACGGATCCCCAACGAACAAGTACGTAGTCAAATGGGAGTGCACTATCTTTCGGACGAGGTCAAACTACAACAGCTGTCTTTGCTAGGTCACGTTTTGAGAAGACCTTTGACCCATCCAGCCAGGGTTCTCTCTTTCGATCGTTTTCTTCAGCCACAAGCATTAGGAGGCCCGTATAGAGCTGGTGCAAGAAGACATAAATGGAACGCCAAAATCTTGGAGTTAGCTATGACCATTACTCACGACCATTACTTCGGGGCGAGAGCAGGTGTGGGGGAACGTGAAATCAAATCTAAGCTGTTGGAGGTGTCGCAAAACAGACAAACTTGGTCTTCGGTTCTTCAGCGTGTCCGTAGTTCTTGGCGTCGCCCACGGGATGCCGCTGGTGCCCCACGGCAATGAAAAAAGGCTGACAAGGTACATCTATAGAGTTATTGGGCCGCTGTCTTCATAAGTTCCAAATCCTTCTGCAACCTGCTCTACCATTATGATGCAGGGCCTAAAGTTTTCGCAGCCCGCTTGCGACGACCCGACAAGCACTCTCTCTCAACTGATTGACTTGCATGACTTGCATGACGAGGAAAGATGAGAAAAGAGGTTGCGGCAGTCTGGCATAGTCATGGAAAGCGGTCACCCAATTTCATCATGCGATGGAACCGATGGCCAAGTGGAAGGAACCTACGACCTACGACTTGCGTGAGCGCGGCTTAAATGCCCAGGCTGTGTAAGCAGCTCCGCTTTGCAACAACCCGCCTGCTCCCCTCTTCATATCGCTCTCGCAAACAGTGCGTTCAGAAACCCTTTGCAGCCTTCGAAGCCTCGAAGCTCAAACCTGAAAGGGACCTTAAATCTAGCTGAACCCGGTTTCCTGAACACCCCCAACCCCCCAGAAAAGCCCGCAAAGTCCCAGTATGCCCTGGAGCACAAGCCTGCAGAGAGCCGGCCGAGTATCCCCGGACAGATGGGCAAGTTGCATCTCTTTGTTACCTTCCTTTTGTTTAGACGACACATTCTTCTGTGGCCAAGAAAATTGAAGGCGCGATGGTGAAAGCACAGCTGTAAGGCCCAAGTTCTGGAACGAGA